GTGCAAACCGCAATGGCGGCTAAGCTAAAAATCGGCTCGCTTGAAATTGTTCGACGGTTTCGTTCTCAGTGTCCAACTTTATCTCGTCCGACCCACGCGATACGCCTGACCGTTGTTGTTTAACAACAACAAAAAAGTCCCCGGTTTGCGGCACTTGCATAATGTCTCGAAATTGTATGACGTCAGTGGTTGGGGTGTTCTCAGGAAGGTTATCGATGAAACCATTCCTTTCTACCGGGTGGGTGGGATCGATGTCGGCAGCGACGAGCACGATTTCTTCGTGGAATTTTTATGAACTTCAAACTTCATTTCGGATGCGAAGCCACGGCTACGGCGAAAATCGGTATCGAATATCGGTAGAACCCCCCGATGGACCGCTTCGCCTCGGATCGAACGCTCGAATCTTTGGTTGATGGTAAGCATAACCTTACTTACTTAACACGTTGAATGCCATGGGGGTCACCGGTGACCCACAACCAAATCGAATTACTACAGTTTGCTCGATTAAAAGATGATTATTCCAAAACATTTCTATATTATGAATAACACTACCTAATACGGTGACACTCGGCTATACGAACATACAATAATAATAATAATAATAATAGTAATAATAATAATAATAATAATGTAATTCGAATGATTTAGCCCTTTGCGGGCGAATGTCGACATTTCGAGATGAAATTTTCGTATTTGGAAGACTAAGTCGCAGACAAATGATTTAGTTACTCGAACAGCAACAGATCATCACGCAATTTCCTTTTTTTATATTAATTAAACATTTGATATATAATTCAGCTTTATCTGCTGAAGGTTTTGTACATTTCAAAGAATCTTCGTCCGCAAAGGGTTAACCGTTTGCACTCGGATGTATTTTGCTATATACATTTAACATTTTCTAACTAGACAAAGACGATGTTTTTTTAGAGGAATTCAAAGAGAAATCACAAGTGAATTGAGAAACGAAGCCTCTTTATCCCAATATTTCGCACACCGATACATTGTACATAGTTCAATATTAAATATCAAATTTTATAGTTTTACTGCATCGAATCAAGTGGTGACTGAGAGTCACCTTTCGAGTGCAAAGGGTTAACATTATATTTTCTCCATTTTGTGAATTTTGTGAATTGTTAACCCTCTATGGGCCGAATTTTTGTTCACGATTATAACAAAATCTATGCAGTACAAAATTAATAAATATCCACATATGAATACGAATTAACAATGTATTCAATAGTTTCGATAATTCCATCAAACGAATATATTTCGTAACATTCAAGTTACAATGACGTTAAACTTTCACGCCTGAGCGCATGAAAGTTTAAGTTAATCGATTACCTCATTTTATTCACCGCTTCGAGTGCAAAATGAAATAAATCAACAAGATGCCAATATACTGATACGTGACTTTAAAGTTACACGGGCCTGCGGAGGGTTAAACAGAGGAGAAAGAGGCGAAAACACGAAAACTAGGGATCGTTCGTTACCGATCGTCATTGTTCCGAGCGGTTCCGTCGGTTTGTCGTCTCCTCGGCGAGAGGAAGTGGCGAACGCGAGAACGCATCCGTTTTGTTGCTTACAATTCGGCGGCTGTATCAGATCTAGACTTATCGCGGAATCTCACGGAACTTGAACCTACGTAATAATAGTCGGTACAAAGAATCGCACGACCTCGTGGTAAAAAGCGCGGCACAATGTGGGTCCCCGAACCTATGTAAATCGATGCAACGCTCGAATGACCTAAACGTTGACTCTCTTCATTACTTTTGAGGCGCGCGGCCGCCGGCGCAAGTCGAAATTCCGATTCGGTTGATGGAAAAATTCAGCAACCGGACGAACGCGATTCCACCGGCTCGATTTCCGGTCACCGATCCTAGACACGAGGGAATCGGATTTATTCGCTCGACGATAGTCCTCGTCCCTCGTCCCTTGCTCCGAAGAAATTAGAAAAAGTAACGCGATATCGTCTGCATCGTTGCATCCAGATTTCTGTTTTACCGATAAAGCGGGTACCGATGTGCACAGTGTGGATTAATGCGCGCAGATGGCAGCATATTGCAGAAATTTGCAACATTTTTCGTAGTGGCTCGATTTCGGTTTCGAACGTTGTTGTTGTTTCTATTGTTTTTCGAAGAGCCGTCGTGCACGATACGGTTGCACGTGCAGTACGAGATGGAACGTTGCTCGAGCCTCCAAACGGATCGTACGTTTTTTTCGGATATACGGAGATAAGATTCGCGTCCGTTCGAAACGATGTTAACAATTCGGACCAAAAAGTCAAACGAGGAAAATTCGTCCGGATTTCGCTAGGTATTGATTGCTCGGAGAATTTGCATTACGTTACAATTACTGTATCGTGCGATACACGGGAAATACTATCAACGACATTACGATAACTTCGAATCGAAGAAAATGGTTAAATTTTGTTGTGAACGCATCCTTCTACGTCTGCATACTATCGCAATAATTTGCATGTGTCTGTACTAATAAATTCTCGTGTCAGAATGTCTTGTATAAATGTTACACATCGTTACCAACTGTTTATGAAGCACCGAAGTTATTGAAATATAAAACCGAGTAGCTTGAAATTCTACGATAATTTAAAGCTACGCCGGATTTACAACGTTCGCTTAGAGCCCGTCTATGAAGGAAACGAAACTATTCGACAGTTCTAAAATACAATTTCAATATTGTTTGTCGGCGGTTGGCCGAATATCGGAAGATTATTCGAATAAAGCGTATTTCGCTAACCGTCCATTCTATTTCATTTAATACGCGCAATATTTCTTTTACACGCATCGTAGAACAAATATATCCCCTTCGATAAACTACAGTTGTTTTTTAGTAACTTTTCTTACATCCCGAAGAGGTTATTTATCGATCAACTCGGTGCACGTATATAATCTAGTATATCTAGAAAACTCATCGTTTTTTTTTGTCTGCCATCGAGGAAAGAGTAATTCTGTCATTTAACGATGTTGTTCACGCGACTAATACATGGAAAACAATGATCCTTAAGCGAACCTTCCTATTCTAACCAAGGAGTCCACGGAAGAAACACCACGCGATAAGTACGATGATCGTCTAACGAGGAATTACGAATGACAGAAGGAAATGCTGAATGGTAATTACGTTCGAGTGAAAATAGGACCTGTCATTTTCGATCGTTCCTTCGATGGAAGATCAATATTATATCTGGCGGTCGAAGAGCCTGCTAATTAGTCGAATTCGGGGAACAGCCGCTCAGCACTGACTTCGATCCCGCGGAACTTTGGGAATCCGGGAATGATCGAAACGATACTAGAAACGAGCTTTTTTTCCTTCTGAAAACTGTGAACGCTTGAGGCGCGCGAGCACGCCCATACAGTTGTGTAAGGGTTGCATACGTGTACGAGCGTGGATGTGTCCGAACGTGCGGTTGCTCGTGTGCGAGCATGCGTGCGCGTATGCGGCATGTGTATGGGCGCGTGTTCGCGCGTACGTGTGTATTTGTGTGAAGGCCATGTTAACAGACTGTAAGTCAACGGATGAGTTCGGCAACAGCGAGAGTAGAATGAAAGTTACTTACGATATTCACCGGCTTGTCCGCGGCTCCTACAGAGCTTTTCCGTGCGATTATTTCACTCTCCACATTATTACGTCCACGATGCTTGAGGATAAAAAAAAAGGGACGGCGAGAGAGCGAGTTTGATCAAAAGCACAATTTTCGTGACGTCATCGGTGGTCGAGCATGCGCGGACCGATTTCGGTGTTTTTCCATTTACCGCGGAAACACGTGTGCGTTTGTGCTTGTTTTTTTTTCCTTTCTTTCCCCCAACGGATTTTTTCGTATATCTTCTCTCATCCGCCGCGAAGAGACACTACATCGCTAAGAAACACACGACATTATCGCGACGACGCGGTTATCGTCCGTTGCGAATTTCGTGTGCGATTATTCGCGAGAGCCAGCAACGGCTGCCGACATCTATCCATCCACTCCCACTTGTTAAGTGACGTACACTGACGTCATCGATAGTTTACCTTGAAGCATGACATTGAGTTCCATGCTGGCCAATCGAAATGATAAAGTTCCCTGCAACTGGCCGCCTGAGTATCCATATTACGATACAAAATACGATATCGTCGTATGGACGGTTTGTACAGCGCTAGTGAGGCCAATCCGCACTCCATAAAGGTTATGTAACCTTATTAATCGGTAGAGTTTACCCTCTAGATAGTTTGGGGAAACCCCTGTCGCCCCACGACGACCCAAAATGCCATCTAGCGGTCAATAAGTTTTAAAGCGACGGCGAACATTGTAGTTTATTTTTTAATTATTTATGTGTACTTCGTATAAATAAAATGTTTACTTCCTTCGTTTTTCCATTGAAGAATTTACAATGCTCGGTAGTATGAAATTGTATACATTGTTACCGCTAACTTAAGCATGCGTAATTACGGCGATACTGAATTTTTTTGGTTCCTTAATGTCATTGAAAAAGAGAAAAACGTCGTGGTAACAAACGAATAGATGAAACAAATGTAAACCGCGATAGAAGTCACGAACTGTCTAGACAATGTTTAAGGTTTTACCACAAATTCCCTGTAACGTCAGATTAAATGTATAACTTCTGGAACAACTATAATCTTTCCTTCGTGATGAATTTTCACCGTGAATTATAAGTACGTTATTAATTTGAGAATCTGAACTTTTCTTATTTACGTCCGATCGATTCGAATGTATGAATGATTTATTTGAATGACATTGTGCACTTCAGTACAATATTTCTTCTCTCGGATAGATTTTATCAGGCCAAAGAGAACCGAATCTTTAACATTTATCGTATTATATTTTAAAATATAACATTTATTATTAAATAAAGTTAACAGTGAATAAGCCGACGAAGTTATTGCAAATGTGCATTTTGAGTTTTTCAAATAGTGATATAAATATGAGGAATCTGTTGAAGTATAAATGTTCCTATAAGAGTTGTAAATTTCTCTGCGTTTAGGTACGTTGGAAGTTTCACTTTCTTAAAGTTGTACGTGTGATTGAAAACTGTGTTGCATCGACAAGTTATCATTTATAAACGTCTAATGACGGCAGTACATTTGTTGACTTGCTTTACGAATTCCTTTTCTCTTTTCCCTTCCCCTTCTTTTTAATTTTTTGGATACTTGTTGTATCAGTGCTAGGTTATGGATTATGATTATCGAATACGATAATACGAGTTGATAGTTCCAAATTATTTTTCCGGGATTGCAATAAAGATGAAGTAAATGAATCCGGTTATGTGAATTGACGAATAGTTGAAGTCATTGCTAAGTATTCAAAGTGAAAACGTAAACATGAAATTCCAATTGATTAGAAATTTCTTTCATTAGAGAATATGATTACTAACTTTTAATTCTTTTGTACCGAAACATGTAACGATTAATACAATTCCAAATCTAGATTTGATCCACCTCTAATTATGGATAATTCGCACAAGCAAGAGTACATCAATAGTGAACAAGATCATGTAAACATTATAAACATGAAAATTCCTAAAGAATCGGATGTAAATGTATTATACACAACCCAAGTAGATTTTACAAATCAACAAGATGAAATAGCCAAAAAGATTTCAATGCTAAAACAACTATTGGAAAAGGATCTCAAAGCAGCTGATTTAAAATGGTCATTATTTGTAGCAGCATGTAACACGTATCGTTATGATACTTGTTTGAAACCCTTCCCACCAATGTATATCAAAAGCGAATGCAAAGACATTGAAGCTTTGGTAGAGTATTCAAAATATTATTAATAATACATTCTCGTGTATTGTAATTTATGTATTTATCGGAGACCAAAATTTAACTACAGAGAAAAGCTATAGAACTGATTCCACCATTGGCTGTGATAGTTAAAGCATTGCCAGAACCAGATGCGTACGAAAGATACAATGAAGCTATAGAATTATTGTATTGGGTTTTAATTCGTTTAAGAGATCCTTACATAAAAAGCATTAGTAAAGATTGTGTAAGTTATTTTGCAAAGAATTTTTCATATATTTTGAAGATTTGTTATTTTTAAAATAATTGTTTGGTATACAGTATGCATCCATATTGAGAAAAGTACCTTCAGAAATATCAGTAGCTGCACCAAATTTAATATTCCAAGTTGCAAATCCAAAGCAATCGACTTCAGAAGAGAAGTGGAAAACAATTGCTCAAGGTCATACAACCTTTTATGCTTATCATGGTAGTCGTTTAGAGAATTTTCATTCCATTATACATTATGGTCTTCAACAAAGTATGTGCAAGGTAAAGTAAATCAGAGTAACACATGTGAAAAGGAACTTGACAGAGTCAGAAATTGTTATATATTCTTTAGACATCAGTTTTTGGTAAAGGAATATATCTTTCAAGTGAGTTAGGCGTAAGTTTACAATATAGTCCTGTAGGATATGGTTGGGGGGGCAGTGTTCTTGGAAGTGATATGAGTTGCTTAGCTTTATGCGAACTCATTAATCATGTCGACGTCAAATGTAAAGATTCAGGTAATTTTATGTTATTAGAAACAGGGGAAAACATTAGTGCATCATATATATCTAAAACTTATTACAGAAAATAATGCTCGGAATATGGCTAGGGATTCTGTAGGTGGAAGAGTTCCAAATAAATATTATGTAGTAACAAATAGTGAATTGGTACGAGTAAGATATCTTCTTGTTTACAGTCAGGAAGTTCAAACTGCAAGGTATAAATGTTCTTCATTGTAACAATATATTTGAAATATGGGATATTAATTTGCAATTTAAAATATACAATATGCAATGTTTCAGATACGCTAATAATAAAGGCTTCTTAGCATGGTTCAAGCAACATAAATTATTAACATTCATGCTTGGTTATGTGGTATTACTGGCTTCAGTTGGATTGACTCATAACAAACAGGTGGAAAAGTATTACAAATTATTTGCTCAAAAAGTTGGGTTGGAGTAAAAGAAGACTTTTTATATTATTACAAGCTGTTAATGCATTTATATGTATTAATCCCCCTGTTTTTTTCTTACACAATTCTTATTAAAGTCCAACATAAAATTGCATTTATTACTAGAAATATATACAATTTGTAAATAATATACATAATTTATACAAAATAATGTATATGTTGATAGAAACTCTAGTACCTTGACAATATTATAGGAAAATTTTCTGTGACTAGGTAGTCATCTTCAAACACTATGATAAGATTTACCTCAAATTCTGTAACAAAATATAATTTGTACAAACAAATGCAGAAATACAATTGATTTATGCACGCAAAATAAAAATAAGCAATCTTACCGACTTTAAAATTACTTGTACTTAATGTAGGGCATGTAAATAATCTGGGGAATATCATATATATTGGTATAGGCAAATTTGTACAAGGATTCCCCTCTCCAATTTGTATATTTTGTATCTCTGTAGCTAAAATATAATAGCATAAGATGGCTAATTAAATGTTACAGTTAATTCAGACTCAACCTTCTTACCATCTCTAGAATATCCTTCTGCACAACCACATGTCTCTACTCTGACCAATTGAAGTTCTATTGATTTTATCACAGCTTCGCAATGTTCGATCACTACCTGAAGTTTAACAATATATGCAATAGATTAATATGCGATAATTTATGTAATTTACATGAACATAATTTTTAAATTTACCTCTCCTGTTAAAGGTTCAGAAATCTTACAGTACAATGTGTTTAGTTTTCCTGAAATACAAAATCTAGGTACATTAGTTCTATCTCTTGCATTCTGTAACAGTTCTGGCATGATTTTGAAAGTTTCTACTTTGCTGGGTTCTCTTTCCATCTTAGAAGGCACTTTGTCTTCCACTATAAACTCCAATGTTTTGCTTACATCCTTTGCTAAGAAATTTCGTTTTATATCACAACGAATCAGATATTGTATATTTACAAAAACTCCATGATACGTTTCATACAAAGATTTAGTTCCTCTGGGTTTCAATGGTAATTCAAAAGGTATTTCTGTTTTTCCACTTGGTATTTTACCACTTGGCGCAGCATCTAAAGTATATTGTACTAGTTGTATAGGCTAAAAATATATTAATTGGAAATGTTAAATAAATTTCAGCTGTCTGGAATGATATGTATATATCGCTACATAGTTAAACATTTGTCTGTTGTTAATGTAATTAGAAGAATTTTAATAAACGTCATTAGGGGTAATCTAACCTTTACGGAATTATAAAAAGCTTCAAATATGCCAAAATTCTTCGAACTAAGTTGTAAATTCACTGAACCATCCATGCTTAGAAATATTCCATCATGCTTAACATCCGAATTTGTTTTTAACAATATAACACCAGCGACTATTTCCTGAAACATAACCTTCCTGTTTCTTGTTCTTTAATGCAATTGTCGTTTAAGATAAAAAAGTATACCCCTTCGTGATATATTTTACTTGCTCGTTTCAGCTTAATATCGATACTTATAGACATTTTTAAAAATTTATAATCGTTTATTACTCAGCAAACAATTAAAGATGAGCTGACGTTTATCAACGGTGACATTTGTCAAATGATGTTATCGTCTACATAGTATTACATTACTACATTATTCGTGTAATTTTATATTTCCCGTTTACTATTTATAAATAAACAATACCAACATTTGGAGTATAGTAAAATTTCATAAAAGATATCAAATAAATAAAAGTGACACGTATGTCATTAATTTATTAACGAAACGTTCATTTGATCAATAATGAGAATTTTATTAGCAGTACTAATTTTCCACAAATACAATTCTATATTTCGTTAATTTCAAACGGATTTTATTCATGTGAGTGATAAAAAAACCTGTTTACTATTTACGATTTCAAATGTATTTCTAGTTTACGATCCCGCAGTTTCGGCTGGGTCGACCAATCAGATGCTTCGCTTTTCGCGGTCTTTCTTCTATACGTCGACATCCGTGGAGGGTGAACATCCGTCTGATCGACTAAACAAATTCAAACCGTCGGGAGTCGTTACTGTGAGGTGAACGTTGTTTGGGAAACGGTGGAAGCAGCTAATTACGACAACGAATTTACCGTAAAATCCTACTTAGTCTCGATTAACAATGGCGTTAAGAAATCGGACTGCAATTTCGGTGAGTGATAGTTTTTTAAGTAAACGTTAATGCATAATTTTTCGTCGAATGTCGATAGGGGCGGTGATGAAAAGAGGGTAACCGTCCGTCGTTCCTGACATGTTTAAATGCCCCTCGTTTGGTTTAAAGCCTATTGAAATAATGTGCACGTTCTATCACTGTAGTTTTCTACATTCTAATTCGCTATTTATAAGTTTAAATTCGAATTATTTATTGACAAATATTTCGTTGGGATTATACACGAGGTAAAAATTTCAATTCCTCGAACCCGTCTTTACCTTCAACGGACTTTTTTCTGTTGCTGAAATTACAATTTCTTTGGAAGTTTTAATCTATTCAAAATATTTCTAGCTTTCTCGTACTGCATCGTTTAATTATAAAACCGATTTCGTAGATATTAAAATATTCGTTGAATTATTAATTATTCAAACTCGAGCGGAAATTCTATTGTAAACATTTTGACGGAATTCTATGCTTATTATTTTCTGTAATTTAGTTTCATTGTAATAATTATTATGTAATCTGAAAAATTATGTTTTCAATTATTATTTTTTCCGGGAATAGTATATTCTGTGTATACTAACTACAGTTAATATAATAATAACATATAGGATGTAGTTGAAATAAAAATCAGTGAACATAAATTTTGTTCTTGCATTATTATACAATTAATAATTACCCGTTGAATGCTTATTGATGGTCCCATTTTATATTTTTTATTTGATAAAACTGTTAGCAGAGAAAGAATGTTATAGCAACAGGCATATGGATTATCCTATGCACTTTCATGTAATTCTTCTAACAATACTATTTGTCATTCTGATATGAATTTTCAGAATATTTTAAACCAAGAAAATGTAAAGAATATCGAGTCTTCGCTTGTTGCGATGCCAGGGAAGACTAGAAGAGCTGCTCTAGGTGAAATAGGCAACAAAGTGAATGCAGTGAGAGGTGTAGAACCCATCGACAGGACCAGTTTATTACAGAAAGATAAAAAAAAGATGGTAGTCCTATCAAAACAAACAGTTAAACCAGCAGAGAAAGTACTGGAAAAACCACCAATACAAATTGTTAAGCCTGTAGTAAAGAATGTAGCGCCTCAGGAAAACATTGTACCACCAATTCCTCTGAAGAAAGAGGTAGAATCATTCTCTTCGGACCTTTTGGCAGTCGAGGACATTGACGAGGAAGACCATGGAAGTCCTACTTTAGTTTCTATCTATAGCAATGACATATATGAGTACTTAAGAACATTAGAGAAACAATTCCCTATTTCAAAAGGATATTTAACAGGCCAAGAAGTTACACCAAAGATGAGGAGTATACTCATAGATTGGCTAGTAGAAGTTCATCAACAATTTCATTTAATGCAAGAAACATTGTATCTTACAGTAGCTATTATTGATAGATTTTTACAGGTTTGTTTTTAATTCTAACGAAAAATGCATGCACTTGTTAGAGTTGGTAGTTTATAATGTTATTTGTAGGCTTTCCGCTCAATAGATAGGAAAAGATTGCAGTTGGTTGGAGTAACAGCTATGTTTATTGCTAGCAAGTACGAAGAAATGTATTCACCAGATGTAAGTGATTTCGTGTATGTCACAGATAATGCATACTCAAAGGTTGAAATATTTCAAATGGAAATGCTTATTGCGAGAACTCTTGATTATTCGTTTGGTCGACCATTACCATTGCATTTCCTTAGAAGGTACAGCAAGGCGGGAAAGGTGTGTGTTGGATTATTTTCCTAATTTTTTCGATTTGCCACATTTTATAATAAACGATTGTTTTGTTCACAATAAGGCACATTCCATACATCATACAGCAGCTAAATACTTTCTGGAACAAAGTTTGGTGCATTACAACATGTGTCAGTACTTCCCAAGCCTTCTTGCAGCTGCTGCAATATATTTAGCATTTGTGTAAGTTTCTCAATCGATCTGAACTACTTATGCTAGCAAGCATTTAAGCATTTCTTATAGAAATGTTACTATTGCTACTTCGAAATGCTATATTCGTTACCAAGTAATTCACTTTCTGATTTGTCTACATAGCGTTATTAATAACAATGACGAGGACAAGGACAAAACGGTCTGGACTAATACATTAGTGCATTATAGTACCTATACTAAGGATGACGTGTTACCTGTGGTACGGGAAATAGCTAGTATTATAATTAATGCGGATAAGGACAAATATCAAGCAGTTAGAAAGAAATACGCTCTATTAAAGCATATGAAGATCAGTGCCCGCCCGGAACTTCGATCACAAGTTATGGTCGCCTTAGCTGCAGCCAACAAAGAAGCAGTATAATAATTGTTTAGAAATAGAAGTTACAGTGAGATATTTGTTTGTACAATGTTGCGTTGGACAAAATTATTACGACATAAGTAGCGCGCGCGAGGGAGGACCCTATTTTCGTAAAGCAAAAAGAAGGGATGCAAAGAGAAAGATGAGACTATCTTTATTCATCCTTTACCCGACGTAAAATCTCGTTAAAAGCAGCATGTAATTATAAACATAAAATCCTGTTATATATTACATTGATTCTTAATCACAATTTTAATTTTAAAATTCATTCAAGTAAATTATTTGCAAATAAAGTAAATAATCTTTTAAGAAATTCACCAGAAAATTAGCGGGTTGGTCTATAACTCAGCCCTATTAAAAATATAGTCCCATGCGTAGTCCTATTAAAAATGGGACGATTTTAATGTTGTATTTTAACGAGTTACATGTAGTTTATGAAGGAGAAAAACTTTAATAAGCAATTTCGTGTAACGTCGTTTATAGAGAGTATTCCTGGCACCGGTACAGCACATCGTATAATAAAATATGCCTGCTTTCTTAGAGCTAGTAGATACATAAACACGTGAATTACTTGTTGAAGGTTTTCTCGCTCTTACACATAATTACGGAATTTAGAGTAACTGTATACAAAAAGTTTTCTAGTGTAGGAAAGAAAAAGGAAAGCAAGCATGAGAGTATAGTCAAACGGTACTGAACTTACTTTTTTTATTATTATAATGAAACTAAGGAATAATGTTTGCCGATGGATCTGGCTTTGAATTGGATAAAAATTCGGCAAAATAAGTTATATTAAAAGTCTGAAAAATCGGAAAGATTGAGTAAAAAATGACTTGCTCACCGAAAGTTCCTTTCTGTAATGGTCGAGTATATTATTTAATTGTGTCTCGTGAAAATTGGTGCGTTTAGAATTAAACCGTACGATTAACAATCATTCTAAATTGCGCTGTAACTGTAATAACATGATACCTTTACTGTTTGAGAAATGCGCATTGGTTTTAACCAATATACCTCTCAAGCTGGATGGTATTTAAATATTCTTTAAAATATTTAAACTTAATTGTTTGCTGAACTTTTATATAATTTAAAACCTGATTTTTAGGTATTTAACCCGTAAATTATATCTTTTATACTGTAATATTGAAGGAATTTTAATTTTTATTCACGATTATAAAAAGACTTTTTATTTTGATATTAGCTCTATGAATAGTTTTAATGTTAGTTTATATAAATATACAAGTATGACTGTTCATTCCTGGTATTTTATCAATTCACTCGCTGCATTCGGAGCATGTAATTATCTGAAATTTATGTGAAAAGCATATCAGTGAAAAATAAATTATAATATTCTAGGAAACAATACACATCATTAGCGTCAATTAAAATATTACGCTATAATATTCGTGTTTCAATTATTCTCAAGCAGAATACTTGCTTCATGTACAATAATGAAACCTAATTTCATTATAATAGCGATATATTTTTAATGTTATTTACGTAGGAAAAGTTTATATGAAATGGTCTATTATTTAAATAAAAAAAGGCAAACATATTTTCCAGAGATTTAAAACATTATTAAATAATTCTGCGTATATTTTCGTACAAAATGTGTAATCACCCAATACTAAAATATATTCAGTTTCCAAGATGAAGTGTTAGATTCTGGTGGGTGTGTAATATAAGGCTCTGAAAAAAAGAATAAAATGAGCTATTTTGTAACGTAGTTTTAAAATAATTTTCTCTTACCAATTGATTTATGAGACAGAGACACTCCTTGAAACTGACTGGATAGTTCTACACTTTCCTGAAATATAAATATGCGACATGTTAAATTATTTTCCTATAGTTAAGTGATTCACACACATTACACTGTACCATTTCTGATAAGCTCGAAGGCGCAGATTTATCCCAAATTTCAGATTTACTTTTCTCAATTAAGCGTAATAACTGTTCCATACAATTCTGCAATTTCTTTCCATATTCATCATCATAGAAGTATAAAAGCATTTGTACTAATACATTCAATTCGTCTAAGATACAAAATATTTGTTTAGAATATTAAATTCATTGTGCATAATCAAACGTAGGAAAATGTGCAAACCTCTTTCTTTATATGTATTGCTGACAATCTGATATAAAGCTTGTATTAATGCTAAATCCTCGAAAGCACTGCCCTCTTTCAAGCTCAAGAGCTTTCTTTCATGCTTTCTACGATTCTTGCGAGACCTGTAACTTTTTCTACAGAAAGTTTCATTAGTATTTATAGTGATTAAAATTGTACACATACTCGCTTATACAATTCTTACCCAGATAAACTGGACAGTCTTGATTTTTGAGTGAACGTTGAACTGGCAACGCTACTTGTGTCGCTAAGAATGTCTGAGATACCTCTGTCGTACACTGTCTCGCTGTCGCCAATCATTTCGATGGTAGATCGTGCATTTCTTTCTAAAATATTAACTCTGACTACAGCTAGGCGGCATTTGTATTGCTCAAAGTTCTGTTTATTCTTTTCTATTTGAGACATTATGTGATCCGCATATTCGTATACACTTGATCTCACACGAGACTCTAGAAACATCATTTTCTCTTGTATTATACTTTTCTTTTTATATTTATAAACAAACGCTATATAATATATTATCATTAACAGGTGGTGAACTCACCAACTAAATCTGAACTTTCTCTTTCATATGCAATTCTTACAGCATCTTTCCAGTGTCTGCCAATGCACAAGGAAACTATCGCTTCCTCAACGTCGTTTAAATAATTAATTAAAATATGTGCAGCTTCTTCATACCGTTTATCACTTTTTAATCGGTCCGCAAGTTCCTTGTAAACCGCGCGTTCCTCTGTTACTCTGAAGTATTTTTCAATTATTTATACATATGTTTATATATAGATATATATCTAAGATTTTATACTAATAAATGTAAATAACTTGTTGTTTTACCCCAGTTTCAATTGTGTTAAAAGAATAATCACATCTTGCCAGCTTCCAGCTAACTTGTAAGCATTCAAAGCCTCCCTTAAATCATTGCTCCTGTTGAACATGATTCCAGCTTCTCGATAATGTTTCTTTTTCAGCAAGAATTCTCCATAAATTTTAGCTATTTCTTTGTACTGTTCACTGTCCTTTTGAAATAGTTTTAACGCTTTTGTATACAAGTCGTGGTTACGTATTAAATTTATACACTCATTGAATCTGTTTGATTCTTTAACTATATGTTTAAGTGCTGATTCGTAACGTTTCAAATGCAAGTCAATGGAATATTTCATGTAATTCTCATCGAGTTTCCTCATGTCATTTAAAAATGGAATATATTCTTTAGGATCTTTCTGTGATTTAGATGCGATAAACATTGTCAGATCAAAATTGTACATTCCTAGAGCTGTATCGAAGAGTACATTTACATCAACTATGTACAATAAATATTTCAGTGCTTCATCGGATGTTATAGATTCTACATTTCCACCAGTGGCTTCTAATTTTCGAAGCTCATTTATTTTAGTCAATGCACCCTCCAGTCCTTGCTTTCTTTTATCTTTAACCAGGCTAATTAATATTGGTTGAATCAAATAATTCCCTGTATTCTTGCACTCCATAATATTTCTTAATAAATCACAAACTAATTCAACTTTGTCCGTGATAGCATTGCCTGTGTTTGTTTGACCTGATTTTTTATAGTAATTTGCATATATCGTTGTAGTAACATCTTCGTCTCCTAATTCGGTTAGAAATAGACTTAACCAGCTGGATTTGGATACCTGCTCTACAAATTTTTCAGCGTTCTCGCTGAACTTCTTAGAATCATGATCATAAATCAGATTTAAATTTATTCTCTGTCTGCGCATTAAATCAAACGCAGCTAGATAATTACAATTATCTAAATAATATCCAATTATGTACAAGGATAAGGCTCGGGGTTGTATACACTCTAAATTTCCACGCGGCATTTGTAGAATTGTTTTTGAATCCCTAGGGATGGCCGCGATTAGCTGAGATCCTCTTTCCACTCGTCTAATATTTAACTCTGCAAATATCAATTATAATTACAGCTTAGATACAATTTTTAACAAACGAATTAACAATACCTGTAAAGGATTTTTCACTGTTAAGATTTTCCCAAGGCTTAATGGTCAAGTCATGCTTAATCAACTCTTCAAAGCCCTCTTCATTTATTTTCACGCATATTAGTGTGTGCTGTAGTGTTGTCAAAAGTAAAAACTCCGAATGGACAAAAAAGCTGGTAATATTATTGGCAATTTGCTTTCCACTTATAGACAAACAATGTCTGTGCGACAACGATAATACAACGTCTTTTGTACCAATATTTATCACCTCCACTTTGTAAGTATAGTTGGGTAATTGTACATTTATTGGAACAAATTTCGATTCTTTTGTATATACATCAATGGAATTTCTTGTGACTATGTAAGCCTCCTTTGAATTAGGAGAAGGTACAATGTGTTGAATTAAATCACCCATATAGAGTACGGATGATATTTCCCTAAAAATACAAATTAAAGATTACATTGATATTTAACAGCTACAGTGAACAGGATATTCTTAAATAATAAACTTACTCTACTATCAGCTGATCTTGCATTGGATCAGATACTGTATTTAAAGTTAAAATGCAAAGAAAGCTTTGATTGTTTGCTGATAAAGAACACAAAATCTTATTTTCATCCAACCAAAGAAAATGCTGCATGTTATATAGAAAATTTTCAAATGATATTGAAATATGCAACTTAATATCATATGATCCAATCTGTTTGTAGTCCAGCATCAATGAATCCTAAAAAAAAATATGTTATTTTCCCAAATAATTGAATATATTATTTAATATTTACTTACTGTTATTGGTTGATAAAATATTAATTTATTGCTTTGAGAAACACAGAAAAATGTGTTACTGTCTACCCAAGAGCTTTTATTATCTACATCTGGTGCAAAAACAATAGCATTTATTGGTTCAGAAATTTCTAGAATAGTGTGTGCCATTGGTGGTGGTACAACTCCTATTCTAAGGCCAGACATCAATAACTTATTTCCATCAATTACCCCAACAACAGATTTGTCATATATAGTTTTACCTCTACTATGATTAACACACCAGTTGTAATCACATGTAATAAGCTCTTTGGATGTTAACATAATTATTCTTTTAGAAAAAGATGTTATACTCCATGTTGTGTGTATTAATGTATTATCCTTTGGAAATCTAATTGTTTGCTTTAAGTACCAATGATAATTACTTTCTGTCCATAGCTGCAGAATTGAAGAACAATCTTCTTTTACAATACACCAAAGAGTTAAGATCTCTGAATCTGGTGACCAAAATAAATCCTTCACCTGTATAACAGAATTTTTCAAATAGTTATACATATATTGAAGCAGACTAGCAATAAGACAAGAGAAATTCATATATACCGTAATTTCTTTTGGTTTAAAGGGAAGCAAAAATTCTCTGTGCTTTAAGCCATTCTTCTCAAACAGTGCAACAACATGTTTATTAGGTAAAGTTTGTGTGGTTGCAATTAAATTCCCAGATGGTTTCCATGATAATGGTTCTTCTAAGCCATTGGTAGGTTCACTGGTATATTGTAAAATTCCTTCCCTATTGAATATCTTAAATTCTCTTACTTTATTCTGACGGTGTAAGAAACCAACAGCAAATAATGAACCATCTTCCCGCCATGTTATTTTATAAGATTCATCATCCCATTCATTTTGAGATAGTTTCAATGGTTCAGCTACTGCTGCTTTCTTTCCTTCTGATCCATGGAACTGAGTTTCTTTTTTACCCCATCCAACAGTCACAAATTGTTTTTGACCAAAATCTGAAGCGTACAAATCTACCTAAAACATTATTTTGTTTAATACATCTCCACGCATTGTTAAGCAATACAACTTCATCAAAGACCTTCGAACAATAATTACCTCCGATATTATTTGAAAATTGGATACCATTGTAATTACAATTCCATTACTTGTAATTAATATTATAATTTCATGGTCTGGACTTAGTTTCATACATTGTAAATCTATATTTAACTGACTCATTATTTCACATTCAAATCCAGATTCTATGTTTATTCTTATGATATCGCCACATTTAGAGGCAGCTAGAAGTTCCTGTGTTATGCTGCAATATTCTAAACCAACTAACTCTAAATTTTCATCCACATCGAAAGATGTTTCATTTTTCTCATAATCTGATGGGATTTTATATAACTTGTTTTTTAACAATGTATAAAAATCGTTGTTGATTGAATTAACTGTATGTAGTATTGTTGAAGCATTTGAGTGTTGTAAAATCTGATCTTTCAGAAAAATTAAAGGACGACTGGCGCGTTGAGTTAATGTTAAATTTTTCATTGTTCAATAACAGTTGATGACTACAATAAGTTCAAATACCTTGTACAGATCTTTCTTTATAATTTATTGTAGATACAAAAGCGTGTTTCACAAACATTAACCTTCATTCCATCACGCTACATATTAGAGGTTGTGTTACGATTACTACACGGTGGTCGCGTGCAAACACAGAAAAAATAATAATATGAATGGAAAGACGTATATTGAAAGCTTCATTTCTACATTTATTTGAAGTATATTCTTAATCCAAGAAGAAATATATTAATAAACAGTTATAATAAGAATACTTTATATGTATTGTTGTACGTTATGTATTTGGTTTGAATACAAATGTTAACATGAGTGTCGATAATGTCGATGACGAAGATGAAGAGATTGTTATACAGGTACAAGATAGTATTTATTAATTTATTAACAAACAAAATCAGTTTCTCGTTTTCAGGGAACACCTTTATACGAACATTTACATCAGATGGGTTACACGGATTTTGAAAGTATAAACATAGAAAAACCAGTACTCAAGAATGAAAGAAAACGTTATAGTTTTACAGTAAAATTCTTTTCACTTTAAACAAATTGGCGAATATATTATTGTTTTCTGCAATACATGATTATGTACTTTCAGGGTTTTGTACAGTATATAAAAGATTCTTTTAAAAAACTTTCTATTTTATATTCAAAAATACATCAGGTACGTGTATGATACTCATTGATGATCACTATATATAACATATTATATTATTATTCTTTAAAAAGTAATGTTAAAATATTATTTACAATAGGATGGCAGTGTGTCAAAGAAACAAGTACAAACAATTCTAGATGCTAAAGTTCTTTTAAATGATCATGCATGTATAATACATGAATCTATGGATAAATATGATTGCAAACCATGGAGGTAGATTTTTTTACTTCTTAGGAAATAGTTAATATTAATATACAGTAATGTGCAATAGATTGATATTTTACAGGATTATACTATCGAAATTTCTATTATCAGGTGCAATATTTTTTTCTTCAATATATATTCCGTTCCCTTCTGTATATAAAAATTCAATACGAATGTCTGGGTTATCTATGATACTTTATGATAGCTATATGGAATATTTAAGATGGGTTGTGCATAAGGATTTAAAAACTATGATATCCTTGCAAAATGATTTATTTAATACATACAAGAAGAGCCTTAAAATTTTAAAATACGGATATAAAATAAAATTACAGAAGGATAAAGGCTCTCAACAGTTTTAGTAAGTTATAAATACTGTATACTATATGCTCAATTATCTGTTGTTATTTGTATGATTAATGTTCAATATTATAATAGTGATCTTACAGCAGATAGAGTAAAGTATTTGCAACCTATTATGGAAAATGTAGTAACATGCTTGGAGCATGTTTCAATTATTTATTATCAGATCTCTTTGATTCTCATAAAGTTGTTACCAATAAATGTGCCTCATGAAGATTTACTAACTAGATTTGAGAGTGCATCATTTAAAATACGTGGTGAAATAAACTATGAAAAATTACAGGTCAGGTATAAAAGAGTCATCAAGCAATAATGGTATAATTCATATTTGCATATTTATTTTCTTCCAACAGAGTTTGTATTTCACTTATATACTTGTACAATCAGAGATGCTACATATATTAGCAATTACATATGATAACCATACATGGCAGGAATCTGGCTACAAAATTCCAGAGTTCAAGTTAGCATACATCATTAATTTTTTAATTAAATATTTATCATTGTATAAAAGTAAATTGTCAAAGGTTATCGATATTTACTACAGTTCTAAATTAGAACCAATTTCATTCAAGTACAGGTAAATATAGTAAAGTTTATATTGCTTTTAAGAATGTATATTTCATAATACTTATACATCATTGTTACTTCAGAGGGCCTGCTGCATGTCATTGGCAAAACTTATACATGCATCTATACCTGTCTTCAAATAAGTTACAGTTAGCTTATGGTCATGTATTATCCGTGTTACAATATATTGACAATAATGTTTCTGAGAACATAACAAGCAAGGATGCTGTAGAAATGACAATGCAGGAACTGAATCAAGCACAAAAAAATATTGAAACTGCAAAGGATTTTCTTGAATTTGGTAGTATATACCTTTTAAAAACACAGAACAATGATAGTATACAAGATCGTGTAGAAGACAATATGTTAACACCAACAACGAATGCTGACATTCGTATTGTACATGATTCAGAACCATTAATTATGGATGAAGTTTTTGAGGAATACATCAAAACAGAATACTCAAAACCTTTAAACGAAGAAAGTGATGAAATTTCACTATTCGACCGTAAACGGGATAAATCATTGTTTAAGAATTTTATGGTCGAATTAAAAGATGTATTGGTTGAAAAACAGAAATCTATGTCTGAAAGAGAATTGAAAGCACTTCAACGAATGCAGAAAACTATGGGTGAAACAGTTTCAGAAAATATGTGTTCAATTCCTGTACCTCCACCAATGCCTTCACTTAATGCCTCTTCAACAGTAGAAAATAAACAAATTATAGCTGATCAAATTAATAAAGCAACGTTTGAAAATAAACAAACTGAAAACGGTGAAGATTATTTTGTTGAAGAAAAACCTCAAATTCCACCCATACCATTACCGAGGAAACAAGGATTTTCAATCATTTTACCACCACCATTTTTAAAAGCAGATGAAGAGACGTTTATCGGTGATGGAGAAAATTCTGAAGACGAAATTGTTGCAACAGAAAGTGAGGAGTAACATAGCAATGCGTATTTGTTTTATAAATGCTTGGTTACATAATGATTACGCCACATTAAAGATTGCATCGAATGTACTTAATATTTTAATGTTTACCTTCATCATTCAGAGAAAGAAGCATTAACTGAAGTAATACTTTCATGATTATTTATTTACACACATGAAACAAATTACACATTTTTATAAGAATTTTCAACAAATAAAGACTTGTTTGTACAATTTGCAGTTTGCAAGGTACTACCCTTTAATGATAATAGTAATAATATTAATATATAAAATGTGATGTAAAATTATTTTACAGTAATGCAAGTAACTTTTTTAAATCATACAATTAAGTAATATAAAATGCTTCGGTATATTATTAGAAATGTAAATAAATATTGAAACTATTGAATAAATATTCAAATGAAATTAAAGAACAAAAGAAAAACATTAATATACTTTAGAATCTATACTTATAAGCTATCTGTAAATTAATTGTAAATATTATTTAATACAAAAATACTGACATAATATTGAAAAAATAATAAAAATGTGTATGTAAACTGTATAGTTATTTTGTTCTTCTAAGCAGAAGCATTATTTGTAAATATAGTTCTAATTTCATACAGCAGAGCAAGTACAATATTTAATTTTCAGAAATGAATTTAGATACTAACAGTAGAATCAGTTTCATTCGTAATTTTGATCACAAGTTCTCTCTTGATTAATTACTTAGACCATGGCAGTGACAAATTGATAAAAGTAAGCGTCGAATCAATAGCATAAATCAAGAGGGAAGTACTTATTATTATTGGAGCGTATCACAAATCTTTCAATTAAAAGAAATTTTAGTCTAGTATGTCGTGTGAAATTGAAGTACTAGATTAAAGTTAGAACTAAATGAAACATCTGTTATGTATTTAAAAATAATATTCGTTACACTCGTGGTGTACAAGCATCGTGTCATTTCGATCAACTCAACAGAATTGTACCAATTTAAAAGGAATCTATTGTTTCTTCTTTTGTCATTTCACAAACAAACAAAAAACCGAGATACATGTCATGCATGCAATCGTTCCATACTATCCACTTATAAAACACTAAGCATTTCTAATGTCTCTCATTTTAGTTAAAATACAAGATTACACTTGACATATACCGAGGAAAGCAGACTTATATATGAACGTATTCTTCCTTGTATATTTTTATCTCATAAAATTCAACTAAAACATTTTATATATACTGTTCTTCCATAGGAGAAACAATAATTCATCAAATGAATTTTTCTCTGTACAATGTAATAACATTCTACACAATTAATTAAAAGCGCTATAATGCCAACCATGGATGATAACGGATAGCTTCACGACTCCGATCCCCGTAGTCATACGTAACTTCTATCCCAGACGGTATATTTTCTTTTGCTGTAAGTACCAGGTGAGGCGTTGACTCTACTTCTATGACTCGTGCAACTAAATTACCGTTTCTGGAGTGATTTACTAGTCTACCTAACTTATCAGTCTCAGCTGTCGCGTCAACACTAAAAGGGAATAACGTCGAAATAAAAATTGTTAACTTGTAGCATCTTAAAAATAATATCATGTAAGGACAGTTACCAATACTGATGATTACGATGTTGAAAGTAATACATATAACATCCTGTATTCTGATCCTGTGCATATATTTTCTCGCGTTTCTTAGCTGTTACTTGATCGATTAATTCACCTACATATTCTACTACAAATTCTCCTTTTGCGAATTCTCGCGTTGTTATTACTCCACGCCCTTTACCGGCAAAATGTCTTACCTAAACAGATATACGAGTTTTATGGATTTCAGAGCAAGAACATAATAATTTATTGATGTCAATTTTTATACCTCTAAACCCTCTTCCATTTGACATAGTACTTTGTTTTCCATGTCTCGTTGCTTTTCCTCTAATACAGCTTTCTTTGATTTCCTCACACTGCGACGTACTGGAAAATAATCTGTAAGCTTGTGATTTGTACTTTTAGTGTCTGAGAATTCATTTGAACGATGACTGGCGATTAGATTGCCGTTTAATTTTCTACGACCGCGGTTGGCAAACTTCTTTAATGGTGTCGAATTAATCACAGAGATGATTGGTTTTTTATCTTTTTCATCATTTGTACTTCCTTCGTCTAAATCTTCCACCTGACTGTTTGGCATATTTATTCTGTGCGGCGTTGATGGGCCATACATGGGTACAGCTACCGGAGTTTCTGAAATATTTTATACATTAATCTAAGAACTTTACATGTAGAAAGGTTAATAGTATGTAACAGTAACCAATGTATTACCATCTGTTATGAAGCGATTAATGTCACTGACAATTTCAGTTTTTACGACAGTTGTTTGTTCATTTCTATAGAAGGTCTCTCCATTAGGCATTATGGAAGCTTCAGTTTTAACCAAATCAGAACTTGATACATGTGCAATCTACATTCGAAAATACATATTTTAGAGTTATTCTTGATGCAATATACAATGACTTCTATGTACCAAAATCACATACTGTTGAGCAAAGGAAGGGACTTATGCACACAGTGGATTTATGTGTTCCACCAGAATTATCATTCCTCATATTTTTATTATTATTTAGATTCAGCTCCTTTTTCACAGATACATCAATGTTAGTGGACTGTAAAGGTGATACTGTGGCTCTTGTGCGACTCATAGTTTTTGTTTGCACATGTTTTGCTTTTCCTGAAATTAAAATATATATATAATGATTTAAGTCGAATATACAATATAAATTTCATCCTAAATAATTTTGCATCAATCATATAATTCCCAAGTAAAATATAAGAGATGCTCCATTTCCTCTTAGAAACAAATTTCAAAGGAATTAACCCATTGATAAACACTAATGTCCTATTCTAATGACATTTTTATTTTAATATTTTACAACTTACAAGCCTGATACTCAAACCCTTATAAGAGGGCGATTGTTCTTCGAATCTAACTCTATGTTCCTGATACCTATAGGCACAGCTTGAAATAAAAAACTGTACAGCACTGTATAACATATTTTACAAAAGAAATGATTAAAAAATTATTTTAATAGCACTGAGTTCAGGAAGACCTTGATTAGACAGCGTCTCTAAGATAACGTTCAAAATGGTGAGAGAAGCGAAGTGAAATCTATCAAAACATAACCTGACTAATAGAACAGAATCTTCAGTGAAAGTGTACATGGATTTTTTGAAATCGTATTCTTACCTTTCGCCATGGTGTTCCCTTATATTCTCGCGTAGCCACGGAATCCAGAATTTAATCTTCTCATACAAAAATTCCCGTGCTACGCGAGGCCACCCTGTCCGAATCACCTCGACGCTAGTCGACGCTAGTGTGCTTCACGTAAATGATCATTAACAATTCGAATTTTCACACTTGTGATTTTAGAATGTACATTCCTGCTTTCTGTGCCTGGAACGCACGGTTCAGTTGACAACAATTTCCAATTCAACAACGACACTTTCAACAATTTTTTCAAAGCGTTTAGACTATACTTTCCAACGAACGAAATCAAAATTACAAACAGTGTCGAAATAGCAGACCGGATGTACCGCCATTGCTCGCCATAATGTTACTCTATTATCGAATTAGAGACTTGGCATCTGTATACATATATATTATGCACCTATTCAGTCGTAACTCTTACGTTGGTGCCCATGAAGCATTTTTCCCAATTAAAATTCGAAAATATTTCACTTTCTTCGAATTTTTAATATCTATTCGAGGGATTTTTCATGAGACTGAAGTATAATTGTAATCCCGAAGTATCGCAGACGATTCAGAGAAATATCCTATTTATTTGACGAGAAATCATTCTAATTTTTAAACGACCGTCCGTTGGCAAGAGTTCGGAAGGCTTTAGGAGGGCGCGGTTTAATTTTGTATTTTAATTCGTTAATTCTTCTCGGTGGTATCCTTGATAACATCAGTACCGTATTTCCACGAAAAAGAAGACTCTATCGTATACTTACTAATGAGGGTGTCATTACAGCAATTATTACGATTATCATCGTGCGTGCTAATAATCAACAAGTAATAGCGTAGTGTTCAGTAAAATATGTTCAATTTCGATCAATTAAACGTTAACAGAGATCCTTTAGGAGGACCCTTTCGCCAGTGCCAGATATACAGGAATTTGTTAAAATCTATCGTCCAGTTTTCAACCTTCTTACACAGACATAACCTATTCTAAACGATTTGTTAATTGGAACTTGTAGATTAAGCAGGCATGTTCTATTCATAGTATCCTACCAAGAATTACTCAGCATATTATAAATCGTATACCTACACGATTCCTCGTACAATGAAACTCATGCGAATCGAACAGCAATAATTTCAAGTATAATCTCATAAAATCTCCTTTCCTTCGAAATATAGATCGTTTTACAATACAACAAACAAAATCGGTTGTTTCATATTAAACGTATACGTCGATTTAATCGAACATCACAGAACATTTCCATTGCATCGGCATCGAAATTATTTGTTGTAAACGATCTTTTAGGTATTTTGTAACCAGTGCTACATTATTTACAAATGCTACAAAAAAATTCACTCGAATCGTCAGAATAGAACGCTACGCGTCAGGGGATTCGACGAAAGTGCGAGAAATCTCGAGAATCGAAATTCGCCGGACGATTTAGTGGATAAAGAAATGAATATTTGATGTGTACACATATATTTATCTAAAGCGGAATAGAAGTTCCATTTTCAAGATGCAAAATTGACGAAATCGAATCATCTCCCAATATCGTTGGTTCCGCGAGTCGGCCGGCAGGTGGCGTTGTCAGCGGCGCGAAGCTCGGATCGATCGTATTAGAACGGTGTTATTTTTTAGATAGATTTAGCCGTGCGATCGTGTAATACGCGGCTGGCGTGTTTTATTTTGCCGAGGGGGTCCCCGTAAATCGTTCGATTTACAGGAATCGTTTGGTGCCCGGCCGAACGAGCGTTACTCGACGATTCTGAGTTGAGTTGGCCGTCGTATTCTTTTCTTTTTACCGCGGATACTTTAAATCAACTAACGATCAGCGCGGCGCGCATGCGGCGTTGCCAGATCGACACCACGGTTCTATTCGTTTGAGCGTGACCACGCGTGTGCGGACACATGATACGCGATATGCATGCTTTGTTTACCGTTCGTTATAATTCTGTGAAGCACGTGCTCGAATAGCCAATTTTAGTTAAAACTCTGGTATTCCGAGTGGGCACGTGCACGCGATTAGCCTCCTCATTTCGCATCGATTTCGTCCCTCTCAGTGACGTACGATCCATTTCGACCATCGGAGGAACAACCGAATCGAACAGTGACTTATTTAAGCGGTAGTAAAATTGAACACGGTTCAACGACAACTCTGTGCCGATATTTCAAAACGAACACATCGAAGCTTACGTTCGAACGATTATCAGCGGTTCCATTGAATTTATAAACAATACGTAACGTTGCGAAACATTTATCAGCCAACATTCGGATCTATAACACCGTTTGAACGTTTGCATGCATTTTGAACATTCATTTCCGGAAATTCGATAAGACAAAAATGATTTCTCTTATTCATTAGAATATCTTAATTAGAATCGTACACTTCTCGCAGTCGCCTTCGTGCGATTTCTATTGGTTTTCGAAATGTTCTTCAGATCGAATTGTTGTACTGTTGTTTATTTACGAGAAGCTCTTGCAAATTATAAAATGACGCATAATTATACAAAACACACGTATTAAGTACGTATTCGACGAGTAACGATAATAATTGTGTAGCAGCAGCGGCAGTAGTAGTAACAGTACTAGTAGTAGTAATTTAGTAGATTGTTAATTGTTCGAGACAATGTACAAATTAATACATATATAATGTAATGGATTTTTAAGTAGACGAGTCGACCAACGAAAGAAATATCGAAAATCGTTTGCATCGTTGGTACGAATGAACGTTCGATCGAAGTCATCGTTAAAATCGTAAAGGACGCTATTGATCGATTAATTATTCGTTAGAAAGCGCGGCAATTTTTTGGTTAACGCGCTTCCTAAGAACCTTAAGTTTCCTTAGCTGCGGTCGCGATCCGGCAACGTCGCACGATGTTGTTCTGTAAACGACGGTGGCGGCCATAGGCGCAGCGCGTGTGTTTTTGTATTTGCATCGCGGTGCACCGTGGGCCGGGCGAAAGCCAAGATGGCGGCAGCCGTGTACGGCGAACGCGTTTCGAGTGCATGCTCGGTCTAGACCGCATAAATGGCTCGGCCCAAGCGCACACTCAGTTCTCTTACTGTGATTTCCTAGCTTGCACAATCCGCCAGCCTTCAGATTGTTCTCGTGTGATGTCCATTTGACGAGACATAAGCTACAAGTAATTTTCTAAAGGGAGGAAAAAAAGTGACCGTCTCCCGTGTACTCTGTCACGGTTAGCATCTCTGGCCGCGACGAAGACAGTATCAACACCTTCCTTATTCTATACAAGTGTCTATTTATCGTGAACCTTTTATAACACAAAGGATTCAATAGATTTTGTCATGGTGAGTTTTATTTTTGTTTATCATTGTTCAAACTTTATGGTTTGCTTCCTTTTTCCGTACCATACCTATTTTCCTCGACGAACATCCATCTCTTGGCACGACTAACCTATAGACGCTGTATGCGCACCGCGAATACGTATCTTATTGTAATTTCAAATGACTCACACTCTGCTTTCCCTCTCCTTACTCTGTCGTCCCCCTCCCCGCTCCCCCTTTTTTCCCACAACTGAATAAAATATATCTTTTCAATGGTGAACTGTTTATCGCATTTTTCATTCACTTCCGATGAAGTATTGCATTTTATATAGATTACACTTTAGAGCATACAAATACTATTGCCTTTCTAATGCGTTCAATGTAAATGTACTTCAAGCAAAGTGTTATTTAAGGTTTACATTTATTTTACACGAATCGTATGAACTTAAAGAATTAAGTTTCAATTTTTTAGATATAAAACATTTAATTCATTAATGTAGTCTTGACAATGGTACTGTGTATTCCTTTCAATTGATTTTCTTTCTTTGGTTTATATTTCATTATTATTTATGCCTATTATAGTCAGCGAAAAGAGATAAGGATGCAATGAACGAAGACAGTAGCAGCGACGAAGATGAGGATCCTGATAACATGGGTGTACCAGGTACATTAATAGTTTTTTTTTTACTTTTATTTTATATTAAAGTAGTTCGGAATGAACAAAAGGATAATGTTCTTTTTAGGTGGTGGAAAAGATCTTGCCACTGCTACTGGGATCGCAAACATTAAGGATGAAAAGCCTGCAGATGCTCCATCCAATGTAATGATTAAAGGACAGGGGGGAATAAACAGTAAGAATAAATTTAATATGAATTTATTCATGAATTCGTGTTGCTTACAATTGTGTCTGTACCACAGTGCTAAATCAAAAGTTTGGCAACAAAATTCCTGGTGGGTTAGTGACTAAAACGGCAACACCAGGCTATGAAATGGTTCGTGTAGGAGGATCGCAAGGTACACCAACAGACTTTGTCAATGCGAGTCAGTTGAGTCAATTAGGTCAGTTAGCTGCCGCTGGACCATATGGCTTTCCACCTGGATTAGCAAGCCTTGCAGGTTTTAATCCTGCAGCTTTTTTCCCACCAAGTAAGCAAAGTTATTAATTTAATTTTAATAACAAGCTGAAACTGTTGTGTCATTTTGGTGTGTGCTGTGAAGATCAACTATACATTTAATGTATGTATAAGTTAATCGGGCACATACATTACTGGTTTTATGGATTTGCTTGTAACTTATAAAAAAGATGCATACGTTTAATATAAATGTTAGTATCCATATTCCATTTTACCACATATCAGAATGCCAATTATGGAATTAATAATTGAAAATAGTTGTATGTAACAATTGTAATATTATAACAAAAGAAACAATCCAGAGGTTTTATGTGTACTATTATTCCCCAGGCATGGATATGAGCTTAATGAGTGGTTTTATGGGAATGCCAGGAATGAACATGGGTGTGAATCCCCTTGTTCAACTGTTAAATCAAAATGGTTTACATCCGAATTGGCCGGCTGGATTATCAGGTATTTTCATTCGTGACTTAGGCATGAAGTACATTTCTGTAATACCATGCGATGTAAAATATTGATGCAATTAATTTAAAACAATGTGTTATTACAGGCAAAGCTATGTCTCAGTTATGGATGAATTCTCAAGATCCTACAAAAATGAATATACAGCCAACTTTACCGGAAGAGGAAGAGGTTGACGATGAAGACATGGGTGTTGCTGAAACGTACGCCGATTACATGCCTACCAAACGTATGTTTTCTCGACTTTATTCCCATACATTATCTATTTACATATTTTTCCCGATTATATTCCTTTACTGTTACGTATCTAATTTAAATAGTCAAACTTGGGCGAAAGCATCCAGATCCCGTGGTAGAAACTGCATCGTTGTCTAGCGTCGAACCGACGGACGTCTGGTACAAAGTTTCAATTCCGGAAGAAACAATACGAACCGGAGCTTTATCAGCGTTACAGCTTGAATCGATAACATACGCGTCCCAACAGCACGAGCACCTCTTACCAGATGGTACACGTGCTGGTTTTTTGATTGGAGATGGTGCTGGAGTTGGTAAAGGACGAACTATAGCTGGAATTATATTTGAAAATTATTTAAAAGGCCGAAAACGTGCCATTTGGGTTTCCGTTTCAAATGATCTCAAGTACGACGCAGAACGGGACTTAAATGACATCGGTGCATCGAAGATTGAGGTATTCTGAAAATATATAGGAACGCGACATTGCACTCACGTTGCAACATAAATACTTCGAACAATTTAATATTTCTAGGTGCACGCCTTAAATAAATTTAAATATGCAAAAATTTCGTCAGCCGTGAATGGTAATGTAAAGAGAGGTGTGATATTTAGTACATATTCAGCTCTGATTGGAGAGTCTTCCCAAAGCGGTGGCAAATATAAAAGTCGATTGAAACAGCTTTTGCAATGGTGCGGAGAAGACTTCGACGGTCTGATCATTTTCGATGAGTGTCATCGTGCGAAAAATTTATGTCCAACGGGCAGTTCGAAGCCTACCAAGACAGGTACGTATAACGTATATTATAAATCTGAGAAATAATCGTATATTTTGGAAGTTGGATTTTCCGAAAATATTCCTTGAAATTTCTAACGTGTTGCAGGTTTGACCGTTTTGGAACTACAGAATAAACTTCCTAAAGCTCGAGTAGTATACGCTAGCGCCACTGGTGCTTCTGAACCACGGAATATGGCCTATATGGTTCGATTAGGTATTTGGGGCGAGGGAACGCCTTTCCCCGAGTTCAACGATTTCATTACTGCTGTCGAGAAGCGCGGAGTTGGTACAATGGAAATCGTAGCGATGGACATGAAGCTGCGAGGCATGTATATTGCTCGACAGCTAAGTTTTCATGGTGTAGCTTTTAAAATAGAAGAAGTACCTCTATCCAAAGAATTCACTGAAGTATACGATCGTTCCGTTTATTTGGTAAGTAACGAACAATTCGCTACTTACTGTCAGCAATTCTGACTACTGAAACTTCACTAAAAGAAATTCTTTTCAGTGGGTTGAAGCGATGCAAAGGTTTCAAGAATCGGCGGAACTGTTAGACGCCGAGAACCGTATGAAAAAAACAATGTGGGGTCAGTTCTGGTCATCGCATCAGCGTTTCTTCAAATATTTATGTATTGCTGCTAAGGTGAAGCACGCTGTCGCGGTTGCACGAGAGGCTGTCAAGTGTGGCAAATGCGTGGTAATCGGTTTACAATCTACAGGCGAGGCTCGCACTTTGGAACAGTTAGAGCGAGACGACGGTGAACTCAGCGATTTCGTGTCCACCGCGAAGTGAGTGATACTCTGACGAAGAATACAGTAGTAGGAAGAAAAAGAATTGATATATAAGTTTTGTACTCTGTTCTTTCAGAGGAGTTCTCCAAACGTTAGTCGAGAAACATTTTCCTGCGTCAGACCGTAATCATATTCAACGAGTTTTGGGTATCGAGCCGTCTAAAATGCAGAGGTTAGATGATCTCGACGACATGGATGGCGCAGGTGGTTCAGCCGGCGGCAGTAAAAGGAAACCTGTAAGACAAGCGGCCCAGCGAGCTTCGAAGAGAGTTCGTCATTTCCCATCCGATGATGACTTCACCGACGATGAGAGAAACGGCGGTCACAGTTCCGGCTCAGAGTATAAACAAAGCGGATCCGAGAGCGAAGACGATCATAGAACCGAAGAGGAGAGTAATATTAGTTCGGATTCCACCTTCAATTATACCGAGTCTGATTCCGACTCCGGCGATAGACGAAAAAAGAAGGGCGGTAAGAAACAGAAGAAACCGGTTAAGAAACGTCCAGGATACGTGGGAGCCGGTGCAGGAAACGCTGCGGTTCGTAATCGAGCACCATCCAGGGATGCTGTGGAACGCGCATACAGCATGAAGAAGGAGTTATTGTCACAAGTAGAAGATCTAGGCGAGCGTTTACCTCCCAACACGTTGGATCAGTTGATAGACGAATTCGGTGGACCTGAGAATGTTGCTGAAATGACCGGTAGGAAGGGCCGCGTCGTTCAGACCGAGGACGGTACCATTCAGTACGAGTCTAGATCCGAGGTAGACGTGCCATTAGAAACGCTGAACTTGACCGAGAAACAAAGGTTTATGGACGGTGAGAAGACGGTCGCTATCATCTCGGAAGCAGCCAGCAGCGGTATCTCATTGCAGAGCGATAGGCGAGCAAGGAACCAAATGCGGCGAGTACACATCACTCTTGAATTGCCTTGGAGCGCTGACAGAGCTATACAACAGTTCGGACGTACTCATCGTTCGAATCAGGTGAATGCTCCGGAGTATATATTCTTGATCTCGGATTTAGCAGGGGAAAGGAGATTCGCGTCGATCGTCGCAAAACGTTTGGAAAGTCTTGGTGCTCTTACACACGGAGACCGTCGTGCCACGGAAACAAGGGATCTCTCGCAGTTTAATATCGACAACAAATACGGTCGTGCGGCTCTTGAAGCGACGATGAGAACAATCATGAAGTACGAGGCACCGCTCGTGCCGCCGCCTCAGGATTACCACGGGGACTTCTTCAAAGACGTGGCAGACGCGCTGGTGGGCGTCGGTTTAATTTGTAACAGCGAGAGTACACCGGGTGTGCTTACTCTGGACAAAGACTATAACAACATGTCGAAGTTCTTGAATCGTATACTGGGTATGCCAGTCGATTTGCAGAATCGTTTGTTCAAATATTTCACCGACACGTTGAACGCGATCGTGACGCAAGCGAAAAAGACCGGTCGCTTTGACATGGGTATTCTTGATTTGGGCACTGCCGGCGAAAATGTAAAGAGAGTGAAATTGTTTCGCTTCTTACGGAAACACGCAACTGGAAAAGCGCCAACCGAGCTACACGTGGTTCACGTGGAGCGTGGCATGAGTTGGGCCGAGGCTATGGATAAATGTTCCGAGTTGACAGGATCCAAAGAAGGATTTTACTTGAGCCACCAAATTCGTAATGGAAAACAAACGGCCATTTTGGCAGTTGCTGTAGATACTGGCAAAAAGAAGTCTGAGAGCAAGAAGGACCAATTGTACATGGTCTACAGGCCCAACACGGGATTGCAACTTAGGCAAGAAACTCTAGGCGAATTAGAGAAGAAGTACAAGAAAGTGTCTTCTGACGAGGCGGAGCCGCACTGGTCACAACAATACGATGCTTCGGTGGATACGTGTTCCCACGCATACTGGCGCGGTAATTGTAAAAATGCGACGCTCGGGATGGATTGCGAAGTTGGACTCCGAAGACGATCCTACAACGTTTTGTCCGGTTCAGTATTGAGCGTCTGGAGTCGAGTAGAAAGCATTCTAGCGACCCGTTCTGGTCACAACACGAAAATGCAAGTTGTACGCTTACGAACTGGTAAGATCAGTGATCACCTTTCTTAATTTGTAACTGGTTTAAGTTCACATTAGCCAGTGCAAGCCTAGATTTTAAGGTGAACGACAGATTTATAGAGATTCTTTATTATCGCAGATGAGGGTTTGAAGATAGTCGGTACCCTTATTCCAAAGTCATGTATGGAGATATTACGTCAAGAGCTAGCATCCGATTCAGACAACACCGAGGAACTTACATTTTGAACATTCGGTACACCGCTTTATAGGTAAGGAATGATTTTCTCTTGAAAGTTGAAAGTTGCACATGCTGGGTTGTAGTACTCGCCGGTCTACAGGCTGTATCATAGTATCGATAGGAATAGAAAATCTTAGATAGGATTTATAAATAAGAATACTTTTTTTTTGCTTATCAAGAGCAGGACCAATGGAAGCGACTTTATAATGGACAAATCCCTCTTCGTAAGCCTTGCGACAGAATTCGAGAAGGAAGGGGGTGCACTTACGAAAGCATGGCGAAGATACACGCGTCATCTGTTGAGAGGTGTAAAGTAGATTCGAAATAGTGAGTCTATATAGTGTCGTATCGCTCCGTTCAATAACGGCAAGTGAAATCAACGTGTGACACGAACGTTTCCAATTCGCGATCCTATGAACTTCTTGAGAGATCCGAGCTTGTCTCTTCGTTAGACTCTCGCGTTGTTATTTTATAAGTTAACGAAGCGTACTGCTCGCTCGTCACATCCGGACACGCGAACATCATTAAGTAGCTAAAATTTTCTTTTCTCTTCTTCTTCTTCTTCTTCCTTCTTTCTTTCTTGATTTTAGACCCAGACTACGTCCGTGTTAAATTCACCTCGAGAACACAAAACGAACACACGTTTTCTATTATCCACGAATCCTT